GGGAGGGAGGGAGGGAGGGAGGGAAGAAGGAAGGAAACAAGGAAGCAAGGAAGGAGGGAGAGGGGAAGGAGTAAAAGAAAGCAAAATTAAGTTTGGAAAGTTGTAGTGCAACCAGGAAGCCAGAGGTGCAGAAGCTGGCAGGCGGCTATACTGGGAAATGGAAAATTGGGAATTCTTGTTCAACCAGAGAGCAGAAGTATCTGTGTAGAAGCTGTTAGGAACATACTGAAGAGTTCCCACCCCCACACATACAGCACACATGGGACGTGCCATCCACCTGCTGCAGCTCAGAAGCTTCTGGTGCCTGGCAGCAAAGGCAGTGGCCATCACTGGCCACTCAGCAGCCCTGGGACTCCCTGCTATGCCAAACAACAGAGGCCTGGACCATCAGCCACTAACTTGAACTCCTTAGTCCCTGACTCCATGTAAATCCACGTTCAAGCAGACCCTTGCATCCTGCGGGCAAGACTATATATAAATTTTATGTATATAGCCATACAAAGAACAATTGAGTATTCATATTTGTTGTAAAAAGCCTTTAGGTTCACTATATTTTAATGCATTTGCTTAAATGAATGGCTTATCAGATAAAAAGCATTGGGGGAGGGGGTCCTGGGGCTTGAACTCAGAACTGGGCACTGTCTCCCAGCTTTTTCACTCAATTCTAGCTCCCTACCACTTGAACCACAGATCTATTTCCAGCTCTTGTGGTGGTTAATTGGAAATAAGTCTCTTGGACTTTCCTTCCCCAGGCTGGTTTCAAACAATGGTACTCAGCCTCCTGAGCAGCTAGCATTAAAGGAGTGGGTTGCTGGTGCCGGCCAGCAATTTATTCTGTGGCGTCTATCTTCTAGCATGGACCTTAATTCTTCCTGTCAAACCCATTACCTACCAGTGCTTTGGATCGTTCTACAAGTAGAGCTCCCCTCCCACTCATACTAATACCCTAGGCTCCACCCCTGACTCTTCCTCATGTAACTCATATCTGAAAATTAGACATGAGTTGCCCGAATATTTATTTGGTTGTTTGGTGTTTTGCATTCTAGGTTTTTGTTTGTTTTTCTCTTTTTGTTCTCTTCATCCTTGAGTGCTGGTGCCCGTCTAGTTTTATTTTTTATGTGTGCATATATATCTACTAAACTCTCCTACATTCCTTCCCCTGCTCCTTAACCCAACATTCACTTTCACCTAGTAACTACACAGTGCTTTCTTTTTTTTTTTTTGTCAGTCCTGGGGCTTGAACTCTGGGCCTGGACACTGTTCCTGAGCTTCCTTTGCTCAAGGCTAGCATTCTACCACTTGAGCCACAGTGCCATTTCTGGCTTTTTCTGTTTTTATGTGGTTCTGAGGAATGGAACCCAGGGCTTCATGCATGCTAGGCAAGCACTCTACCACTGAGCCACCTTCCCAGCCCTGACAGTGCAATCTTCTCAGCAGCCCATCAAACTTCCTCCAAAATAAATCATACCCTACGACATACATATAGCAAGTCTGACCAAATACAAGAAAACTGAAATAATTCCTTGTATTCTATCAGATCATGATGGAGTTAAACTATAACTCAATAGTAAAAGGTATTTTAGAAAACATTCCAACACATGGGATCTGAACAACATCTTGTTGAATGACTGAATAAAGGGAAAGATCCAAAACCTCCTGGAAACTAATGAAAACGAAAAATACATACTACCAGAACTTCTGGGATATGGCAAAGGCAGTTTTGAGAGGGCAAGTCATAGCTAAAATGCATGCATACACACACACACACACACACACACACACACACAATTTAAAATCACTCAAATAAATGGCTTTCTTATGCAACTCAAATTTCTACAAAAATAGGAATAAGCCAAACCAGACCAGATAGAAATAGTAAAAATTAGGTAAAAAAAAATTAATGGATTGGAAACTAAAACACTTATACAAAATATCAAAGAAACAGAAAGTTGGTTCTTTGAAAAATACTAATGAGATCAATAAACCCCTTTTCAATTGATGAAAAGAAGAGGAGGGGCTCAAGTTAATAAAATTAGAGGTAAAGATGGAAATATCACAACAAATACCAAAGAAATCCAAATCATCATGAGGAACTACTTTAAAAAGCTAACTCTAAAATCTAGAAGTAGTTAATTTTTAGATGTAGTTGACCCACTAAAACTGAACCAAGAGGATATAAACTGCTTAAACAGAGCTATAATAAGTAATAAAATTGAAGCAACAATACTCTACCAACAAGGAAAAGCCCAGGGGCTAGATAGATTCATAGCCTAATTCTATTGAACTTTTAAGGACTAATACCAATATATCCAAACTCTTCAATAAAATGGAAAAAAAAGGAATGCTCCCAAACTCATTCTATAAAGCAAGCATTATATTCACTCCAAAACTAGACAGAGACAACAAAATAAGACAATAATAAACTAGTCTCATCAATGAACTCTGATGCAAAAATTCTCAGTAGGATCCTTGCAAACCAAATTCAATAACACATTAAAAAGATCATACACCAGATCGAGTTGGTTTCATCCAAGGACAGTTCAATATATGTATAAATAAATCTAATAAATGATATAAATAAGACGGAGAACAAATGTCACAAGACCACCTCAATTGATGCAGATAAGGTCTTTAACAAAACTCAGCATCCTTTTACATACAATCTCTGAAGAAACTAGTAATAGAAGTGACATACCTGAACATAATAGAGGCTATGTATGACAAACATACATCTAACATATTAAACAGGAAAAACAGAAATCATATCTCCTACATCAGAAACAGACAAAGATGTCATTCTCCTCACTCTCACTCAATTCAGCACTAGAATTACCGGCCAGAGCAGTAAAGCAGAATAAAAGATTCAAATAAAGAAATAAGAATGCTCCCTATTTGCTGATATGATCTTGTACTTAACAAACCTTACAGACTCAATAGTTTATTTTAAAATAAACTATTTATTTAGAATAAACAACACTTATTTCTTCTAGAGGATTCAAGAACTGTTTCTTTGCATTAAAATAAGACTTTTGGAGCAAATGAGTCAAAGTGTCAGAGAACAAGTTCAAGTCTCAGAAAATATTTTTCTTTTCCTTTCTTTTTTCAATCTAAAAGGCAGCCCACTTTCTAAGATCCAGGTGCTTATAGATTTGTGGCCCTTTAAAGTTGTAAATCAACTGAAAAATGGGAAGAGTAGATAGCTAAACAGCCCTATGTGATCATAAATGGCTATAATCCAGCTACTCAGGAATTAGAGTTAGGAAGATTATTCAAGGCTGACCTGGGCAAAAGCATAAAACCCTCTCTGGAAAAAAAAACAAAAAACAAACAACACTGGAGGGCTGGGAAGGTGGCTCAGTGGTAGAGTGCTGGCCTTGCATGCATGAGGCCCTGGGTTCAATTCCTCAGCACCACATAAGCAGAAAAAGCCAGAAGTGGCGCTGTGGCTCAGTGGTAGAGTGCTAGTCTTGAGCTGAAGAGCTAAGGGACAGCGCCCGAGCCCAGAATTCAGGCCCCATGACCAACAAAAACAAAAAACAAACTAGAAAGCAAAAGGACTGGACATAGGTGGACATAGGACCTATTCACTGTAGGACGGCAGGCCTATGCGCGGCCTGTTCGCTGTAGGACGGCAGGCCTATGCGCGGCCTGTTCGCTGTAGGACGGCAGGCCTATGCGCGGCCTGTTCGCTGTAGGACGGCAGGCCTATACTTGGCCTATTCACTCGAGGTTGGCACTCCAACACTTCAGCCACACCTCCACTTCTGGCTTTCTGTTGGTTAATCAGAGATAAGAATCACTTTAAACTGCAATCCTCAGATCTCACTCAGTCTCTTGAATAGCTAGGAGTATAAGAAGTAGCTAGGATTATAGGCATGAGCCTGTAGAAATTATTTTTTAAAAATTACATTGATGCTAGGTGTTGTGACTCTTGGAACCAAAAGCACTTTTTATAGCTTAGTTATTTTTTAATTCACTCATTTCTCTATGTTTACTGAACAAAAACTATGCCTGGCATGGTATTAGAGTTCAGATCTTTTTATCTATAAATAAGAAGATAATCTAGCACCAATGGCTCATACCTGTAATCCTAGAGGCTGAGATTTGAGGATCCAGGTTCAAAGCCAACATACCTATTAACAATAATAAACTACTAGTATAATTATGACTCAGTCAAAAATAAATTTTGACAATTAGACCCCTGCATTCATAGAATATTCAAAAATTATACTTATTAAACAAATAATGATATAGTAATCAATGAAATATTTGAACATAAAACTTATTGGGGTTTTTTGTGCCAATCCTGGGACTTGAACTCAGGGCCTGGGCACTGTCCAGCTCTTTTTGCTCAAGGATAGAGCTCTACCACTTAAGCCTCAGCTCCACTTCCAGCTTTTTTGGTACTTAATGGGAGACAAGTCTCAGACTGTCCTGCCTGGGTAGCTTTGAACTGTAGTCCTCAGATCTCAGCCCCTTACGTAGCTAGTATTATAGTCATGAGCCACTGACACCCAGCTTAAAAAATTCTTGAAGGAAGTAGAGTCAGCATAAAAATTCAAACAGAAAAGGAGTTATGCAAAATTTGTTTGAAAATGGAGTATTCAATTTCTTTGGAATTTAGATGTCATTAAACACATTTTAAGTGATGTCTTTAATTTTAAAAGTCATGTTTATATTAAACTAAAAATTACATCTTTTGCAACTAAACTTAGGACAAAGAAATTTCATGTGTCTACTTCAAAATTATTTTAGGGGTTATATCAGCAAAAAAGTGTAGAGACTATTGCCTTAACCATTCCAACTTACACCTGAAAAATTACTTGGGATCCAAATATTCGCATGAAAGAGGTCAGCAGTCAAGAGGGTAGCCGTGGGACTGGGAAGGTGGCTCAGTGGTAGAGCGCTTGCCTTGAGCTGAGGAGCTGAGGGACAGAGCCCAGGCCCAGAGTTCAGGCCCCACGACCGGACCCCTCCCCCCCCAAAAAAAGAGGGTAGCCATGCTCCCCTTCTCCAGCACCAAATTCTCTTTAGGACCTTCTGAAGCCACTCGCAATGGTAGTCTGTCCCAGAAGGCCCTGAAAGAGAACACCTTCACTGAACCAGCCTGTGCCCAAGGCCGTAACTCATAATCTATGGCTATCTCAATTTATACCCCTCCAGCTTATCTAACATTATGGGATTTTCCTTAAAAGAGAATCAGCACACTTTCATAACTAAAAGCCAAAAAGATTTCCCAATTTGATTTTGCCCCTCGTGCAATATACATTTTCCAGGGAGAAATTAATTGTAGAGATTAAATTTTTTCTGTTCTAAATTATAGTCCAAAGGAATCAGTGCCAACTTCATTCATGTTAAAGTCCAATATTATTCATGTCCACTCTCCAGAAATGAACTTAGCTCCCCAAACTAGAAACTTCCCTTCTCCAGAAAGGCATCCTGTTAGGTGTACCCAAGTGTCCCCTGCTAGGGCAGGCTCCTATAGAGCGTGTGAGGTGAGGCAGCAGAGGAAACACTCTCCTGGCTCTAATGACAATGTTCAAAATTAAAAGGGTAGAAGGGAGGCACATATGGAGAGCGAACTTGAGTGATGCCCCCACGCATGTATGGAATTATAATTCCCTCCTGGAACATATGGAGAGCGAACTTGAGTGATGCCCCCACGCATGTATGGAATTATAATTCCCTCCTAAGTATTAATGGACACCTCAAGTCAAATACAAAAAACTGCTTAGTATATATGTTTACACCTAACACAAATTACACATGGCGGACGCTGTACCAGTTGAGCCATGCCTTTAGCTAAGTGGGCTTAAAAAAAAGTTCCAGTCCTGGGGCTTGAACTGGGCCTGGGTGTTGTTTGAGCTTTATTCACTCAAGGCTAGCGCTCTACCACTTGAGCCACAGCGCCACTTCTGGCTTTTTCTGTGTCTGGTACTGAGGAATGGAACCCAGGGCTTCATGCATGCTGGGCAATCACTCTACCTCTGAGCCACCTTCCCAGATTGTCTTTTCTTTATAAAGCCATCTTGTATCTTTCAAGTATTATATACAATGACACACAAATGCAATCTGTGAAAACGTTTTTAAAAAAATCTTATGGGCTGGGAAGGTGGCTCAGTGGTAGAGCGCTTGCCTTGCATGCATGAAGCCTTGGGTTCCATGCTTCAGCACCACATAAGCAAAAAGAAAAAAGCCGGAAGTAGTACTGTGGCTCAAGTGGAAGAGCACTAGCCTTGAGCTGAAGAGCTGAGGGACAGCGCCCAGGCCCAGAGTTCAGGCCCCCCGACCGGACCCAAAAAAAAAAAAATCTTACTCAGAGATGAACTAGTGTAGCAGAAAAGAACGTATTATTGATGAGCCTGTCATATGGTTTATTCTGTGCTAGTCCTGGGGCTTGAACTCAAGGCTAGGCACTGTCTCTGAGCTTTGGCACTCAAAGCTAGCGCCCTGCCACTTGAGCCACAGTGCCATTTCCAGCTTTTTGGTGGCTAGCTGGAGATGAGATTTTTTGTTGGTCCCTGAATGACAGGCATGAGCACCGGCACCCAGCAGAGATAAGAGTTTTGTGGGCTTTTCTGCCTGGGCTGCAGACCTTGGACCTCAGCCTCCTGGAGAGCAAAGATCACAGGTCACAGTTTTGTGTCGGTGGGTCGTGGGGCGCTGTCCCCCAGCTCTTCAGCTCAAGGCGAGCGCTCTGCTGCCTGCATGCCAGGCCAGCGCTGTACCACTGGTGCAATCTGCGAAGCCCGCGTCCCTGGGATGAGTGAGGGGAGGCGGCAACCACTGTGCTACCGCCCACCCCCCCTGCCCGCACCCCAGCGACCACTGCCCCCCCTCCCCACACCCCAGCTACCACTGCCCCCCCTGCCCGCACCCCAGCGGCCACTACCCCTCCTCCCCGCACCCCAGCGACCACTGCCCCCCTGCCCGCACCCCAGCGACCACTGCCCCCCTGCCCGCACCCCAGCGACCACTGCCCCCTGCCAGCACCCCAGCGACCACTGCCCCCCTGCCCGCACCCCAGCGACCACTGCCCCCCTGCCCGCACCCCAGCGACCACTGCCCCCTGCCAGCACCCCAGCGACCACTGCCCCCCCTGCCCCCCCCAGCGACCACTGCCCCCCCTGCCCGCACCCCAGCGACCACTGCCCCCCTCCCCGCACCCCAGCGACCACTGCCCCCCCTGCCCGCACCCCAGCGACCACTGCCCCCCCTGCCCGCACCCCAGCGACCACTGCCCCCCCTGCCCGCACCCCAGCGACCACTGCCCCACCTGCCCGCACCCCAGCGACCACTGCCCCCCTGCCCGCACCCCAGCGACCACTGCCCCCCTGCCCGCACCCCAGCGACCACTGCACTACCGCCCGCACCCCAGCGACCACTGCACTACCGCCCGCACCCCTCCTGCCCGCACCCCCACCCCGTCCTCGCCCTCGCCAAGACGGTCCGGGTCCTGGCCGACATCCTTCTGGGGACCCGCGCCCCCCACCGCGGGCCGTGCGGCCTCAGGACGCTGCCAGCCCCGCTCACACCTCAGCCCGCGGCCCGCTCACACCTCAGCCCGCTCACACCTCAGCCCGCTCACACCTCAGCCCACGGCCCGCTCACACCTCAGCCCGCTCACACCTCAGCCCGCTCACACCTCAGCCCGCTCACACCTCAGCCCACTCACACCTCAGCCCGCTCACACCTCAGCCCGCGGCCCGCTCACACCTCAGCCCACGGCCCGCTCACACCTCAGCCCACTCACACCTGCGTCGTCTCCACAGAGCCCCAGTCCAAACCGGCCCCCCGCGCCCCGCCGGCTCCCCCCACCGCCGGCCCCCGCCACCGCCGGCTCCCCGCGCCCCGCCGGCTCCCCCCACCGCCGGCCCCCGCCCCCGCCGGCCCCCCGCGCCCCGCCGGCTCCCCCCACCGCCGGCCCCCGCCCCCGCCGGCCCCCCGCGCCCCGCCGGCTCCCCCCACCGCCGGCCCCCGCCCCCGCCGGCCCCCCGCGCCCCGCCGGCTCCCCCCACCGCCGGCCCCCGCCACCGCCGGCCCCCGCCACCGCCGGCCCCCGCCACCGCCGGCCCCCGCCACCGCCGGCCCCCGCCACCGCCGGCCCCCGCCCCCGCCGGCCCCCGCCCCCGCCGGCCCCCGCCACCGCCGGCCCCCGCGCCCCTGTGGCCTCCGCGTCCCCCCAGCCCGCCGCCGTCGCCCCCGAAGTTCCGAACCAGACAAGAGCGAGAGCGAAGGTGGAAGAGCGCGCGGACGCCAGCCCGGGCGGCGTGACCCCAGGGCGCACGCGCGTGGCGGGAGGCAGGAGCAGGACGCGCACGCGCGGTGGTGTCCTCGCGCGGCCCTTTCTCTCGGGCCCGCCCCCTTCTTGCGCTTCCCCCGGAGGCGGCCGGAGCCCGAGCGGGGAAGTGTGGGGCGAGGTGGGTGGGGCTCCGCGCGGGAGCGCAGCCCTCAAAAGAAGGAGAGGGGCGGGGCGGCGGCGACGTCACCCGGCAGCCCTCCAATCAGGGGCCGGCGCGGCCCCGCCTCCTCCCCGCGCGCTATTGGCCGCGGCGGCCCGGGGGCGGGGCCTGCCGCGGGTCGGGGAGGGCCGGGGGCGGGAGGAGAGGAAGGCGCTGGCGGGCCGTGATGGCGGCGGGTGATGGGGCCGTGAAGCCCGGCACCCTGGGGAGCGGCGGCGGGGACGGCGGCGGCGGCGGCGGGGACGGCGGCGGCGGGGACGGCGGCGGGAGCCCGGGCGCGGCGGGCGCGGGCGGCGGCTGGGCGGCGGCGGCGCCGGCGCTGCTGGCGGGGGGCGGGGAGACGCTGCTGAACGTGGCGCTGCTGGCGCTGGTGCTGCTGGGGGCCTACCGGCTGTGGGCGCGCTGGGGGCGCCGCGCGCGGGCCGCGGGCGCGGGCGCCGGCCCCGACGGCCCCGCCGCCGCGCTGCCCCGCATGAAGAAGCGCGACTTCAGCCTGGAGCAGCTGCGCCAGTACGACGGGGCCCGCACGCCGCGCATCCTGCTGGCCGTCAACGGGAAGGTCTTCGACGTGACCAAGGGCAGCAAGTTCTACGGCCCGGGTGAGGCGGGACGCACGGACGGAGGGGGGAGGGAGGAGGGCCCGCGCCGGGACCCCGGACGGCCCGGCCCCGCGCCCCCCCCGACGGCCCCGCGCCCCCCCCCCCGACAGCCCCGACGGCCCGGCCCCGCGCCCCCCCCGACGGCCCCGCGCCCCCCCGACGGCCCCGACGGACGGCCCGGCCCCGCGCCCCCCCCGACGGCCCCGCGCCCCCCCCCCCCGACGGCCCCGACGGCCCGGCCCCGCGCCCCCCCGACGGCCCCGCGCCCCTCCCCGACAGCCCCGACGGCCCGGCCCCGCGCCCCCCCCCCCCGACGGCCCGGCCCCGCGCCCCCCCCCCGACGGCCCGGCCCCGCGCCCCCCCCGACGGCCCCGACGGCCCGGCCCCGCGCCCCCCCCCCCCCCACGGCCCCGACGGCCCGGCCCCGCGCCCCCCCGACGGCGCCACTTCTGGTTTTCTAGTGGTTTACTAGACCCCCCCACAAAAAAAGTAATAACTGAGTATAAGTTCCAACTATTATGATGTTGCTTTGGTATATTAAACTTGGAAATAAAAATGGCCCTAAAATGGCCTTCTAAGTAAGGGCTGGGCCTTGGGGCCCACACCTTTAATCCAGCTCCAAGGGAGACCAAGATGGGAAAGATCATGGTTCAAGGCCAGGCCTAGGAAAAAACTCAAGCCCTTTCATAACAAGCTAGACATGTGTGCCTGTAGTTCTGTGCCCGACAGCCCCCCCGACGGCCCCGCGACCCCCCCCCCGACGGCCTGGCCCCGCGACCCCCCCCACGGCCCCGACGGCCCGGCCCTGCGGCCCCCCCCCCCGACAGCCCCGCGCCCCCCCCCCGACAGCCCCGACGGCCCGGCCCCGCGCCCCCCCGACAGCCCGGCCCCGCGCCCCCCCCGACAGCCCCATGCCCCCCTCCCGACAGCCCGGCCCCGCGCACCCCCCCCCCCCGACGGCCCGGCCCCGCGACCCCCCCCCACGGCCCCACGCCCCCCCCCCCACGGCCCCATGGCCCCTCAGGACACCCGACCCTGCTCCCAAGGCCGCAGCTGTAGGTAGTGCCCCCCAACCCACTGTCACCCACCCCAGGCCCCCCCAGAACCCCTCCCCACCCCACTTCTCCCCTCTCTCTCGGGCTGGAGTGTCCCCATTTCTAGTTGTCATTCGGGAGGTGTGATTTCCAGAGTAACTCCAGGACCTGGCGGTTTGGGCCTCGCTCTTCTCTAAGGCCGGCTCAGGAGCACGCCCAGCCCAGCCCAGCCCAGCCCAGCCCAGCCCAGCCCAGCCCAGCCCAGCCCAGCCCATCTTGGGCGCTTTCTGAACCGGTGGGGCTCAGGGATGCTGTCCAAGGTGGCCGCGGGTTGGGCTGCGGGTCTTCCTGGGCGCTCAGCAGGCTGTCTGTCTGGGGTGTTATTCTGTGTGTGAGTACGGAGACAAGTATCCAACCACATACGCTTTGATGGTTTGCCTAGCAGTGTAGGACAAACGGGAAGGTGGAAGAGCTGTAAGTTAAGACCCGCTCCCTGCCGCTCAGGATGCGTAGCTCTGCTTCTACCCCCAACTGCTGCAGTGTGGTGGGAAGGCACCCTTCGGGTTGTGCACATGGAACTTGTTGGTATCCCAGAAATTCAGCAACGTGGTTTATCAAGGCTGTGCAGTGGTAAATGCTAACCTTTACTAAGACTGTACAGTAAGTAATGGAATTTGAGACCTAAAATGACCCATTCCTGGAAAGAATGCATCCAGCAGTAGGAAGATCTGCTGGTTTCCTTAATCTTTGTAGTATTTGGGATTAATTGGCATTTGTGAGTACATACGTGTGCTTACGTGGCTTGGATGATACTCTGCAAGTGCTTGGTTTGTTGCTTGCTAGATGGCAGCCTGGGAATCCATCTATTTACTTTCTTGGATGCTTGTGTGTATCTATTCAGTCCTTCCGAGACAACAGATGTCTCTTCCTATTGTCATCAGCTAAAATGGCTAATACTTTTTTATTTATTAGCATGTAGGAGTAGAGAATAGGGCCAAACTACAGTATTTGATCAGCTAAAGTTGTTGTTGTTATTGTTGTTGTCACTTGTGGGGCTTGAACTCTGGGCCTGGGCACTGTCCCCGAACTCTTCAGCTCAAGGCTAGTGCTCTACCACTTGAGTCACAGCACCAGTACTGGTTTTTTGGTGGTTTATTGGAGATAAGAGTCTCATGGCGGGGCTGGGAAGGTGGCTCAGTGGTAGAGCGCTTGCCTTGCATGCATGAGGCCCTGGGTTCGATTCTTCAGCACCACATAAGCAAAAAGAAAAAAGCTGGAAGTGGCACTGTGGCTCAAGTGGTAGAGCGCTAGCCTTGAGCTGAAGAGCTGAGGGACAGCGCCCAGGTCCAGAGTTCAGGCCCCACGACCGGACCCAAAAAAAAAAAAAAGTCTCATGGCCTTTCCTTCCTGGGCTGGCTTTGAACATGATCCTCAGATCTCAGCGCCTGGCTGCTGAAGTTTTTTAATTAAGGATTTATACAGTGTTTTGTGACTACTTAAAGCATTTTCACCACTGCTTTACAGTATATGGAGGAGTTGACTTAGAAGCCCATAAAAATAGTCTACATGTATACAGCTTGGCTAAAAGGTCTGTCATTGTACCCGTCTCACCTGGCTGAGGTAAAGTCTTGGTACAAAGTACAGTGGTCTGTGATGGCTTAGCCACAGGCAGCGGCTCTTGTCAGAGGCGAACAAGAGTGACAAGCTAAGGAGAGCGTAGAGAAGCCGGTTTTAGGTGAGCTTCCCACCAATTCTACATGATGATCAGAGATAATAGAGATAGTTGGAATATCATATTGAAAGTCATAAGGGATTTTGAAGACTTAAAGGAAGCCAGAAATCAGGCGCTGGTGGCTCACGCCTGTAATCCTAGCTACTCCAGGAGGCTGAGATCTGCGGATCTTGGTTCAAAGCCAGCCCAGGCAGGAAAGTCCATGAGACTCTTATCTCCAGTAAACCACTAGAAAACCAGAAGTGGCGCTGTGGCTCAAGTGGTAGAGCGCTCGCCTTGAGCTGAAGAGCTGAGGGACAGCGCCCAAGCCCAGAGTTCAAGCCCCACAACTGACAAAAAAGTACAACTCTGAGATTCCTGATCATTAGGAAGTTGGGAAAGGAGCACAAGGCACATGTACCTTTGGGTCTTTTCTCGTGTGTGTGTGTGTGTGTGTGTGTGTGTGTGTGTGTGTGTGTGTGTGTGTGTGTGTGTGTGTGTGTGTGTGTATGCACATGTGTGAACCTGCCTCTGCCTGCCCACCATACTGAAGCTTAGGTGCTGCTGTCCCTTAGCTGCTTCTCTTAAGACTGGCTCTACCACTTGAGGCACAGCTCCACTTCCAGCTTTTGGGGCTTATTTGGAGGTGAGAATCGCGACTTTTCTGTCCCAGCTGGCTTTGAACCACGATCCTTAGACCTCATCCTCCTGAGTAGCCAGGATTAAAGGCAGTGAGTCACTGGCTCCTGGTTCTTTTCCTCCTTTTTAAACTCCATCTTCAGTGTGTTAATTTTAACACTTATTTTGCAGAAATTCAGTTTAAGCAAGAGTTGACAACATAAAGACAACTATTTCATGGATAGTCTACATAATGCAGCTCCTATCCCAGCCTCCTGCTTGGAAGCCAACTAGGACTGAGTAGCTTGGATTGTTCACTAACTTTAAATTTTAAAGTATGTTACCCAATTCCATGTTTCAAGGCATAGTAACTAAATTTGCTGATTTAAATTGTAAAAATATGAACTACAAGTTAACTCTTAAAAAGTAATAACTGGGCTGCGAAGTTGGCTCAGTGGTAGAGCGCTTGCCTTGCATGCATGAGGCCCTGGGTTCGATTCCTCAGCATCACATAAGCAAAAAGAAAAAAAGCTGGAAGTGGCTCTGTGGCTCAAGTGGTAGAGCGCTAGCCTTGAGCTGAAGAGCTGAGGGACAGCGCCCAGACCCAGAGTTCAGGCCCCACAACCAGACCCCCAAAAAAAAAAAAAAAGTAATAACTGAGTATAAGTTCCAACTATTGTGATGTTGCGTTGGTATATTAAACTTTGAAATAAAAATGGCCCTAAAATGGCCTTCTAAGTAAGGGCTGGGCCTTGGGGCCCACACCTTTAATCCAGCTCCAAGGGAGACCAAGATGGGAAAGATCATGGTTCAAGGCCAGGCCTAGGAAAAAACTCAAGCCCTTTCATAACAAGCTAGGCATGTGTGCCTGTAGTTCTGGATTCTCTGAAAAGACTTTTTTTTTGCCAGTCATGGGGCCTAAACTCTGGGCCTGGGCGCTGTCCCTCAGCTCTTCAGCTCAAGGCTAGCACTCTACCCCTTGAGCCACAGCACCACTTCCGGCTTTTTTCTTTTTGCTTATGTGGTGCTGAGGAATCGAACCCAGGGCCTCAGGCATGCAAGGCAAGCGCTCTACCACTGAGCCACCTTCCCAGCCCTCTCCAACCCTCTTGCTACTCCCCTCCTGCCCCCAACAGAGCCTCTTCCCTTCCCTTCTCTTCCCCACCCAGCCCCTATTGATCAGCAGCTTTCATTGAGGTGGTGTTTTTGATTGGTGGTTTTTTTTTTTTTTTTTTTTGTCGTCATAGGGCTTGAACTCTGGGCCTGGGCACTGTCCTTCAGCTCAAGGCCAGTGCTCTACCACTTGAGGCTCAGTGCCACTTCCAGTTTTCTGGCAGTTTATTGGAGATAAGAGTCTCATAGACTTTCCTGCCTGGGCTGGTTTTGAACCGTGATCCTCAGATCTCAGCCTCTTGAGTAGCTAGGATTATAGGCATGAGCCATCGGCGCCCGGTTATAATTTCTTTTATCTTATGAACTGCATTACTGTCGGAATTCAAATTGGTTTTCATTAATTTTTGTTTATTAAGGTGAAACAATGATTTCTTGTCTCAATGTATCAAAAGATATCAAAAAATATTTTTTGGCATGTAAATGCTTTAAATATATGTATAGTCTTTACTGCAGTCATTTTAAATAAATCAAGCAACTTTATTTTTCATTAGAAAAAGCTTTGTTCTAATAAGCCCTCTTATTAGAACAATTCATAATAGTAAAACCAGAAATTCTGGTTTTTAAACTGTGACCTTTGTCATATATAGTTGCCTTATAGATGCAGGAAGGCTACTATCCTTTGTAAAACTATGTTCTGTTCCTTATTAGCATATCTGTGTGTGTGTGTGTGCGTGCGTGTGTGCGCACGCGCACATGACAGGCAGTTATTCTACCACTTGAGTCACACTCCCAGCCCTTTCTATTTTTATTTTTCAGATCGTGTCTTGTGCTTTTTGCCTAGGGCCAGCCTCAGACCGTGACCCTCCGACCTGGATTACAGGCATGCACCGACACATCTGGTTTATTGTTGGAAAGGTTTATACCTGGGCTGGAACTACAGCCCCCTGACCCGCACCACTCAAGTAACAGGTGTTAACAGGTGTGAACTACCATGTCTGACCTGGCCTTTGCATCATTTGTTTTTAAAGTTGAAACAGAAAACAGAAAAATCTACTTGTTCCATTCTGCAGATAAGAATGAAGACAGAGTTAACTCTCTAAATATCTTTAGTGGCTCTCACTCACCTCCAGACTCAGAAATCTGAAGAATCATAACTTGAAATAAGTCCAGACAAAAAAGGTTATTGAGACCCCCATCTCCAAAAGTAACCAGTAGAGAGCCAGGCTGGAGGTGTGGCTCAAGTGGTAGAGCATCCGAGCTGAGAAGGCCCGCCGAGAGTGCCCGGGGAACCTGAGTTCAACCCAGTACTGCCAACACTCTCAGACAGCTGGCCCTTGCCAGCTACACGCGTAAAACTTTCTCTTCATTCTCCAGAAATGGTGTCTCTTTTTCTTGTGGGTCTGGATTTTGCTTTCATAAGTGGATCTGTTTAAAAGGGTCAAATCTAGTTTCTCCCTGTTTGGAAGTACAGCTAACTAATTTGAGAGAAATTATATTCCTCCCGCCAGCCACTGGCCTGGGCATTGAAGACAGATGAACAAGACAGTGGCTGCTCTGGAGAACAGACAAGGAATGCTTCACTTGGGTCAGTTATTCATTCCTTCCCAAAGAAATAAAGCATTCATCATAGCGATAGGCTGGCACACACCTGCAACACCAGTTGATACACAGAAGAGGACCACAGGGGCTGGGAAGGTGGCTCAGTGGTAGAGCGCTTGCCTTGCATGCATGAGGCCCTGGGTTCGATTCCTCAGCACCACATAAGCAAAAAGAAAAAAGCCGGAAATGGCGCTGTGGCTCAAGTGGTAGAGCGCTTGCCTTGAAGAGCTGAGGGACAGCGCCCAGGCCCAGAGTCCAGGCCCCACAACCGGACCCCCTCCCGCCCCCCAAAAAAGAGGACCACAAGTTGGAAGCTGGCTTGAATGAAGTTAACTCTGGATATCTAAGACAAAATGGAGGAGGGGGAAAGAAGTAGAGGCGTAGTTCAAGTGGTGTAAGGCCATGCATTCAATCCCTATACCAGAAAAAAAATTTTTTTAAGCTAATTATTATTTAATGTGTTAGGAACTAATTCTTAGACCTACTCCATCTGGTTCCCAGAAATTATAACAAGACTAGCACAGCACCTGACACATAGTGGCACAATGGTTGACACAGTGTTATGCCTAAATCCTAGCTACTCAGGAATCTGAGGTGGGGATCAGGCAAAAAGTTAGAGCCAATCCATCTCAACCAATAAAAATCTGAGTGCAGCTGGGTGCCAGTGGCTTGCGCCTGTCATCCTAACTACTCAGGAGGCTGAGATCTGAGGATCACGGTTCAGAGCCATCCTGGGCAGGAAAGTCCATGAGACTCTTACGTCCATTTAACCACCAGAAAACCGAGAGTGACACTGTGGCTCAAGTGGCATAGCACTGGCCTTGAGCTGAAGAGCTGAGGGACAGCGCCCAGGCCCAGAGTTCAGGCCTCCCAACCGACAAAAAGAAAAAAAAAAAGGGTGCAGTAGTAGGTACTCATTCTTGGAGAGGGAAGCATTAATAGGATCAAAGTCCAAGCCGGCTCAAGCAAAAGCAACGTCCTAGCTAGGCACTAATGGTTCAAACCTCTGATCCTTGCTACTCATGAGACAGACTTGGAGGGTCAAGATTCAAAACCATCCCAGGCAGAAAAGTCTGTAAGACTCATCTCCAAATACTAGAGTGGAGCTGTGGATTGAATGGTAGCGCAGAAGCCATGATAACAAAAGGCAAGCAGGTGTAAGTCTGTAAGACTCATCTCCAAATACTAGAGTGGAGCTGTGGATTGAATGGTAGCGCAGAAGCCATGATAACAAAAGGCAAGCAGGTGTACAAAGTCCTGAGTTTGAGCCGAGCTGGACGTTCATGTAGGAGCTGTGTGGTGGGCGTGCATGAGCTGAGCGTCACACAACAGGACTGGAACGAGGGCTCACTGGCACGTTCTTCCCTGCCCTCACCGCCTCACTGTTGTTGTGTTGAATGCATTTGAGGGTATCTGAAGTAATGTGGCTCCATTGCTTTACTTTGATCAAACCTTTTCTCAACGCTTTGTCTATTACGTATTTTGAAATTAAAACTGGGTGACAAATAATAGACGTGGCAAGGGTTTTTTAAAATTTTCACATTGAGCAAACGAAGTTGTTGTTTCTTTTTGCAGCTGGTCCATATGGGATATTTGCTGGTAGAGATGCCTCCAGGGGCCTGGCCACATTCTGCCTAGACAAGGATGCTCTCAGAGATGAGTATGACGACCTTTCCGACTTGAATGCAGTTCAAATGGAGAGTGTTCGAGAATGGGAAATGCAGTTTAAAGGTACCTCCATCATTTTGTTGGGTTCTTTGGGAAATTAAATATGTATTCAAAGGAAGTGTGTACTATCTCCTAGGACAGAGTGGAGCCAGACAGGTGGGTAAGAATGACAACAGAATGCCTTCATAAACTGCTTTGTTGAATGGCCTATGTAAAGAGCCAAAGCAAGTCTTTTTTGTTTTTCGTCAGTCCTGGGGCGGGCCTGAACTCTGGGTCTGGGTCCCTCAGCTCTTCACCTCAAGGCTAGCACTCTACCACTTGAACCACAGTGCCACTTTGGTTTTCTGAGTGGTTATTGAAGATAAGAATCTCATGGACTATGGTGCCTAGGCTGGCTTTGAATCGCAGTCCTCAGATCTCCGCCTCCTGAGTAGCTAGGATTAAAGACGTGAGCTACGGACACCTGGCTAGGTGTCTTTTTTTTTTTTTTTGGTGGGTCCTGGAGCTTAGATTCAGGGCCTCGGCGCTGTCCCAGAGCTTCTGTTGCTCAAGGCTAGCACTTTACCACTTGAGCCACAGCACTACTTCCAGCTTTTTCTGCTTATGTTGTGCTAAGGAATTGAACCCAGGGCTTCATGCATGCAAGGCATGCTCTACCACTGAGCCACTTTCCCAGCATATATTTTAATGACGTTTCTAAGCATCATAAAAAGTAACATGAGAATTTGTATTTGAAAATGGACTTATTGCCAGGTATAGTAGGACATGCGTGTACTAGCTAAAGTCTTAAAAACTGACAGTTTTGGCCAGGTGCCGGTGGCTCACCCCTGTAATCCTAGCTTCTCAGGAGGCTGCGATCTGATGATCACAGTTGAAGCCAGCCTGGGCATCTTCAGTTAACCACCAGAAAACTGGAAGTGGCACTGTGGCTTAAGTGGTAGAATACTAGAATTGAGCAAAAGAACTCAAGGATAGCACCCAGGCCCTGAGTGCAAGTCCCACAACCACCCCCACTGCCCAACCCTTCCCCCTCCCCACCGCAAAAAAAAAAAAAAAGACAGTTTTAATTTTTTTAGGACTTTTAGGTACAGTTTTAAGAACAACAGCGACAACAATACTAATTATCTAGACTTGTAGACCTCAGTAGTAGACCATGTATTTAGCTCCAGCCCTCATCACCACTAAAACAAAAAACTGGATCCGTGGTATGATATCAATACTATGATTATATAATGTATTCTAAATGATCTTAACCTTAAGGAAGGAATCCTTTAGTACACCCTGATAGTTTTTTACCACTGTGTGCCAGGGTATCTGACATGTATCAGACCCTGGGTCCCTCAGAACAGCTCTTCTGGGTTCTTGGCACTTGTTCTAGTACCATGATATGAAGTGATCCTGTTGTATGTTCCTTCTGACAGCTAAGTCACTTAACCTAGCTTTAATTCACTTACCAGGGAGTTGATACCAACATGTGTTACCTGCATAAAGGCAAGAAGACAGTTAGGAAAGGAAGGAGAGCAATGTGCCACACACTGAGACCTCAGAGAACACACAGAAGCCCCTGAGTTACTCTTACCTCGTTAGGCTTATGTTCTTGGCCTACTGTCATGTTTTATCTGTTTACTATATGGTTCTCTACCGCATGCTGTTCCAGCCCCAAAACTCCTCAGGTCAAGAAAGTCACTGTTTCAGGCTGGGAGGTGGCTCAGTGGTAGAGTGCTTGCCTTGCATGCATGAGGCTCTGGGTTTGATTCCCCAGCACCACATAAGCAAAAAGAAAAAAAAAAGCCGGAAGTGACACTATGGCTCAAGTGGTAGAGCGCTAGCCTTGAGCTGAAGAGCTGAGGGACAGCGCCCAGGCCCAGAGTTCAGGCCCCACGACCGGACCCAAAAAAAAAAAAAAGAAAGAAAGTCACCATTTCATTTTTCATGTGCCCCAAAATATTAGCTCTAGATTTTTTTAAATACCACTTCTATGCAAACTCCAGTATATTTACAAATTTTAAATAACTTAGAAGTTCCCTATATTGCCAATTGTAATCTTTAATATCCTTAATTATATTACTTTGTAATCTGTCATTTAAATTATAATGTTTTGGGCTATGAAGGGTTAAAATCCTGAGCTGGGGAATATAGCTAACTTGTACAACTACCTACCTAACACACGTAGGGGCTTTGGGTCAGCCACAGCACACACAGAAAAGGTTCAAAGATCGCTCTAATCCTCACATGGCCATCCGACACTACACAGTGCAGACACATGTCCAGACTGGACCACAGAGCTGGGCTGGGTGAACTGGCTGTGAGCTACTCAGCTTACTCTGAGGTGGGCTGAATGTGTGTGTTTTAAAAGGTCTCCCAGTGACCCTGAAAAAGGCCACGAGCACTCCTGTAAAGACTAAGTCCCATGTTTTGGTGGGGGCGGTTTTGGTTGGTCAGGGGTCTCAAACTCAGGCCTGACCACTGTCCCTGAGATTTTTTTGCTCAAGGCTAGCATTCTACCAGTTTGAGCCACAGTGCTATTTCCAGTTTTTTCTGAGTGGTTTACTGGAGATAAGAGTCTCAACAGACTTTCTTTCCTGGGCTGGCTTTAAACCACAATCCTCAGCTCTCAGCCTCCTGAGTAGCTAGGATGACAGGTGTGAGCCACCAGTGCCCGGCTAATGCCCATGCTTTCTGGGCTCCCTATATACACAAAGACCAGACATAGTAAAGTACCAGGAAGAACTTAGCCTATTCCATACAGTTCTGACGAAGCAAGCGCCTTCCCTCTGTGTAATGGAATCATGAAATAAATTTTGATCACTTCCGATCTTCTTTTGCTTTATTTTTCAGAAAAATATGATTATGTAGGCAGACTTCTCAAACCAGGAGAAGAGCCTTCAGAATATACAGATGAAGAAGATACCAAGGATCACAATAAACAGGATTGAACTTTGCAAACCACCAAAGTCAGGGGCCTTCAGAACTGCAGTTCTTACTCCCTTTCACAGAATGTCCAGTGTCTCTGGATTTGATTCACCTGCTGCGAAAAAACATTCAACCAATTGTGTACAAGAGAAGTGAGTCTTGCTGTGAAGATTTGAAAACCGGATGTTGCCAAACCCCTTTGTTGCAGTTGTTTGTAATGTCTGGTGGGGCTTCATCATCCTGAGAGAAAGACAGGGATTTCTTAAATGGCAAGAAGGTCGTGAGGCTAGGGCATCTCACTCACTCTCCTCCTCCTCCCCCGCTCCTTCTCCCTCTATCCTCTCTCCCTCTCATCTGCCCCTCTCTCCCTCCATTCTTGAATTTGTCCTTTTTGTAAAAAAAAAAAAAAAAAAAAGTATCAAAGACAGCCACATATGTATTTGCTACTCAACTGTACAAATCTCAAACAAAAAACAGCAAGGGACTCTTCTTTAACTGATGTTTTTATCATTGAGGGACAGGAAGACCTGGCCAGGGAGGTGGAAGTTGCACATCAGCTTGAGTGGTTCAGGCTACTGAAATGTTAAAATGTGAATTCCCAAGCTTCTCTTTGGGCTTTGTCAAGGAGGGATAAAAAATAAAACTTATTCCTAAGAATCCATTGGAAATTAGAATGGATTTCAGGTGGATTGAAATCAAAGCAATTCCCCAACAAGATCATTTGAGACTAGTTTTATCCCTTCTGTTCTTTCCCCTAGGTCAAATCAATATTAATTGTGCCTTATTTCACTTCCATAAACTTGAATTATTTTTAGGGAAAGCCCCTATGTGAATTCCGAAGTCACTACAAGCAGGTTGAGACTGAGGTTGGAATGTTCTGTTGACTGCAAAACCTTGATGTCATTCTGTGTATATAGAATGTAAAAGGATTATTCAGTGTTAACTGCCATACGTTAATATACACAAATTTAATTAGCATTGTAATGGCCAAATGCATTCCCCCTTGTGCTTTTCTCTTTTCCAAAAAATCAAAAACAGCAACAACAAAAAACAAAAACACCCACAAACCAACAATTCTTTTTCCCCCAACAGGAATCTGACCCTCACATCTCACTGGTGTTGGGTGTGTGGGGCCGAGGTTTGGATGTCTGTTTGGGTGAGTCTGGATGTGTGCGCGCCTTGGAAGGGACTCGCGATATTGTAAATACAAGTACCATTTTAATAAAGCATGGACAATAAACCAAAATATGCAAAATTGTAAGGCAGTGCATTGTGATATCTTAATAAGATTGTGCATTGGATTCAAGATGAGGGAAAATCCTGGCAATGGAAAGTGGGCACTGGGTATCCAAGTTGTACATTATACCAGGTTTGTTGTAATGTTCAGAACCTCCACTTTTGTGGGACAGTCAAGAGATCCTAGCTGACTCAGTAAGAATTGATATATTAAAAGTACATATTTTTACTTTGTATTTTGATGCCAACTGGTTATATTAGAAATAATAGCAATGCAGGCAGTTATTAAACAAAACAGTAAAAGGCTATTCTACCAATAGATACTAAATTCTTCAAGTATTAGGTTGAAAACACCCTCCCAAAGCCCTGTGTATGTTGATTACTTGATTTCATCGTGACTGTGGAAGTCCATAGGGAGAAGTTGTACCAAAAATAAAAACAAAAGACATGGTCACTGCAGACTTGTCTTTGGCATAACACATGCAGAAACCATCAAAGGGAAACTTCTAAGGACAACATTCTATTCACTCGAGCTACAGAATGGCTATGAAAAGTGTTGGTAAATGCTTTGAGTGTTTTTATGTACAACTTTTTTTTCAAAATGGTTAAGGTACATGTCCTCTGTAGAGAACTGATAATGCCTGGGTCATTTGGGCCTGAAGTTCAATAATCTGCACTTGTGAAGAGAGAAACCTTAAGTATTCATGCAGTAAAAATGAAATACGATCTGTTAAGAAAGATGGGTTATTTTGTGTTTGGGGCTTGAAATAAACTGTGTTCTAGAGATAATTCTTTAATTCCAGTTGGATGTAGTAGTTAGTCTGAGTGAGGGACCTTAATTTTGGTTATATGTGGACACCCTCTCCCTATCCTCTGTTTCCTACATTTGCTGTCTATCACTTGAGGTGCTTAAAATACAGGTACTTCTTTTCTGAGTGCCGGGATTTGAACCCAGGCCCCACATGTACTTGGCAGAATGCGCGCGGCTGCTCACTTGGGTCACCAGTAGGGAAGGAAGGACTGACTCCCTGAGCCTTTTCCCGTTGAAGTTCGCACCCACCTGGGCTTTCGCACCTTCCTGCCTCTTCAGCCTATTCCCAGGGCTGCGTGCAGGTCCCAGTCTACCCTAGTAGTAACTTGGAGAGAAGAAAAAAGAGAACATTTTAATTTTCCTTCACAAAAACAAATTGCAGCAGACTTAATAAAAAGAGAAGGAATGCCTTGAAGGTCACCTTTCTTCTGTAAGAAATACAAGAAGCGTTTTCCTTACTCTGTGTGTCTCAGGCTGTGTCTGAAATAGAGAAAACTCAGGTCCAGGAGGGAGCTGGCTGCTTTCTGGTGAGCTAGTCGCATTTGGGCAAGTATCTAGGGACTTAGTATCTAGGTGGCATGTAAGTCTTTTTCTTTTGTAACCATCTAATCTGTTAATTAACAGACTGTTCCAAATCTGAACAATGTTCCCATTTACCTGGAAATAAAGTAATGATGGAGCACTGAAGGTAACCTTCAGTGATAAAAGCTCAAACTGCACTAAAGGATCGTGTCTGCAACCCTAGGACTCAGTAAGTTGAAATGTCAGCCGAGGCAGAAAAGTCTGTGAGACTCTTATCTCTAAAATAGCCAGCAAAAAGCAAGGCCAGAGGTGTAGCTTAAGCAGTATAGCACCAGCCAAACAAGTACAAGGCCCTGATTTCAAGCCCTAGTATTGCGCCCCCAAAAGTTTAGCAATAATGCCAGCAAAAATATAGTTTCCACATTTATTAAGTCTCAACATGGTATCTCCCTATTTATTTTAAACCTAGACTCATTCGGTGAGGAGTTTCTTGAAGTCATTTGCATAATGGTGAAACTGTAGTTGAGATTTCAGAGTTGGTACTGAGAGATTATGTTAATCTGTGAAAACGTGACTGAGCACCCTCCCTGGACAACAGTAGTAGAGCACATAGAACACATGGTGTGTGAGGTATTCTTAGGAGCAAGATGACAGCAGCGAGTTCACTAGTGTGTTTCCTGTTCACCTTACAAAGTTGTGTGCCTTCCTTTAGCTGATCTTTCAACTGCCACAAAATAGTTCAGAATCACATCATAACTCAATCTGTGTTACAAAAAACTAAGATTAAAATAGTAAAATACATGGCATATATCTTGTTCAAGAACTTTGCTCAAATGACTGAGCCTCTTAAAACTGTTCAATCCTAAACAAATAAAATCAATAGACTCACACTGTCTGCATAGTCTTATGCAGACAGAATTTAGTTCAAGTTGGAATCTGCTCGTGATAATTTTCATTTGTTAACGACTAATCTGTGGTGCCCAGTCTGAACACTAGTCTTAGATGTTGCTGTAAAAATATCTGTAGATAAATAAGACTTGCAATCAGCTTTTCTTGGTTGTAGGGTTTGAACTTGCAGCCTGAGCACTGTCCCTGAGCTCTTTTGCTCAAGGCTAGGGCTCTACTACTTTGAGACACAGCACCACTTCTAGTTTTCTGGTGGTTAATTGGAGATAGAGTCTCATGGACTTTCCTGCCCAGGCTGGATTTGAACTCTAATCCTCAGATCTCAGCCTCCTGACTAGCTAGGATTATAGGCATAAGCCACCATTGCCTGACAACAACCAATATAGATTATTCTGAATGCTTCAAACTGTTACATCTCTTGACAACTTTTAAGAGCAAAACAAAATAAAGCTATTCTGCCTCAGAACTTAAACACAGAATCCCTGCTTTTAGTCTACTGGCTCTCCTTGTAAGTTTTGGACTCAAGACTGCAACATCAACTTTTACCTGAATTTGTAAACAGCCAACTCTACGGATTTCAAAATTCACAACAATGAGCCAAGTCTAAAAAATAAATAGCTGTCTCTGAATTCCCTAGCAAACTTACTTTATATTTCCTAATACATTATGAGATTGTTTTAAAGCTTTCTCTCTCTTTTGTAACGTGACTTTTTCTAGTATTTAATACTGTATTTGACATGACCACATTGGCTTCAGTTTCTCAACTCCAAAATACATTTCATCTCTGAAATATTAAATTTACTAATATGCCTTGCATTGTTCTAAAACCAGAAATAAATTTTCACCTAATCTCTGAAGATTTTATCAGATGTCTTGAGATGTACCAAGAGGAAAGATGAAACAATCCCTCTGATCTCAATGTCACCAGTCTATGGTAACATTTAGGTTGAAAAGCCTAATCCAGTCATTTTAACTCCAGAAGTACCATGAAGCTTCTTTGGGAAATAAAAAAGAAATCCTTAAACACTTGCTACTAATGGAATGTTTGGATATATTTTGCAGAACTCTAATTCATAGCTTTCTCCAAAGATGACCTCAATTTTCAAATTATGAATATATTTCTGGGGGCTGAGAAGGTGGCTCAGTGGTAGAGCGCTTGCCTTGCATGCCTCAGGCCCTGGGTTCGATTCCTCAGCGCCACATAAACAAAAAGAAAAAAAGCTGGAAGTGGCGCTGTGGCTCAAGTGTTAGAGCGCTGGCCTTGAGCTGAAGAGCTGAGGGACAGCGCCCAGGCCCAGAATTTAGGCCCCACGACCGGACCCAAAAAATAAAAAAAAATAAAAAATAAATTTAAAAATGAATATATTTCTGGCCCTTTTTCTATGCATTTATATTCATGGGTATTCTGCAAAGGTTAAGGCCCTGAATGTCAGGTACTGATTTAAATCCTGATTCAACATGGACTGGATGCATTACTCTGGGTGAGACACTAAATAAGTCTTCTTCTCCACTGTCCCTTATAACAGTAGTATGTAATTCTCAGGTTGTTTAGAGGACAAATTAATCCATTCACCCAAACTGCCTCGGGCACAAGATAAGCACAAAGTACTAGCTGTTATTTTCCCTTCCCTCTTCTTACTAACATAAACATTAGATTTGTGGATTGTCACCAATGTTTTTTAATTCATTAATGACTTTGGAATTTCCAGTTTCAAATCTCATTTTCATATGTGCCTAGCTTCACTGACCCAAGTAGTTTTTGCCTTTGTTCCTATATGGTTTGAACTGGCAGAGCTCCGTGAACTGAAAGTGGCCCTGGCCACCACAGCAGCCTGTGCTTGTCTTCTGAATCTCACACCTACTAAGCCAGTGGCTCACCAAAGATGCAGAGTAGTCTGGCAGTGACCACTCTGTTCCTTCAGTCCCTCCTCCGAGCAACTTGAGTTGTGACCTCACTGCTTTGGATAAGGCTACCTAAGTCTAAAACCCAAATGACTGGTATGGCTACACGGATGAGGTTTCCTTTTGGAAACAAAAAGGACTAGAAATTGCCACCACCTCATCTCATGCTGTTGTGTTCCCTCCGAAAGTTTGTGCTAACGCTGAACTCTAACATAGTGACAGGAGACAGCCTTCATGGTGTGGGTCTGTGGAGGCTCTGCCCGGAATGGACTGGAGCCTGGGAAAAGGGTTGCCTTCCACCCTCCATCCTTACGGATGCCAGACTGCAGTCTGTGAGCAACAAGACACCAAACCTGCGGGCACCTCAGTCTCCATCGGCCAGATCTCTTGAATGAGAATGCAAATCCCTGTCCGGTATCTCACTACAGCAGCACATACTGAGTACCTGTAGCCCCCAATATTGTGAACCAATTAATGATTAAGCTCAATCACCTCAAACCACCTTTGTCACAACTGCCCCCAAAATGCAACAGCCCTGAAAGCTGTTCCATAGACGTGTACCCGAAGTGAGGAGTCCTCCAGGGTGAACCCACGTTTACAAGGCTAGACCAGAACCCGTGCATATGCACTTTGAGGAATTAAGGATGCCTACCT